ATCTCCCACACAGGCCAACAAAATGCGGAAAATTTTAATACAATGATACAGCAAAAAAAAAAAAAAACGCGAAATAGGAAAACTTCTCCTCCTTGTTACTTCTCGCACAAAAATGCACTGTATGAAAAACTTTTACACTTCACTTATCTTTCTTCTGATTAGGGCACTTTGTTTACGTAAACGTATTAATAAGGCAAATGCACCACGCAAAATAATGCGCGGAGTAGGCCGCGGATTGTAAATTTGAGTAAGCACCAACCTATCGTATTGCTTGTAGGAGCCTGTATTGCGGAAGTACCATTCATCAGATTCATTGGAACGTGTTGCAGAATTCTGTTCGTTGTGAAATCAGCAGCAGTCGGAAGGAAGATTGTTCGTTGCATGAGCCGATCCACATCCAAAATTCCACCGTTACTACCACTGCTGCTTGTTTCTGTGCTCGCTGCACCAACAATCGGGTATTGTTGACGATCACCGATCCTAAAAAATTTCTTCATAATACCATGAGCACCAAGCTTGTCCGGAAAATCGATGCGTTTATCCCATGTAAGTGATGTTACCAGAATGCTTTCATACGCTGAGTACAGCTATTTTAGAAGTTATAACACAGCATTTTAATTCTTGCAGTGTTCTTTAACGTTGACGTAATTGCGGTAAAACTATACTAAAAGTATTAAAAGCTTGCAAATTTTGAAGGGGCATGTTGTTGATTATCACCAATCCTACAAAACTTCATTATAATACCAGGAACATCAAACCCGTACTGGGGAGTCCGGCCAAGTGCCTACAAACTCCGCATTAAAACCATCAGAAGCCTGCAGATTCTAAGGCCAATTTCTTGCCTCTAATTAAAACGCATGCATTAGTTCAACACTCTTCAGTTTCTAGCTGCGCAAGTCAAACATATGGTACATGAAACTTAAATAATATCACAAAATACGGTAAAACATGTGTTTCCTCGTAAATCCAATACGTCACTAGCTGAAAATCCTATCGCACAGGAGCAGAAATCACAATGCTACGCCGGGAGCATTCCAGAAGACGGGATCCAGCAAGGGGGTCATGCCTAATCCTGTTGTGCCACATTAATTCCGATTATGCTTAATTATTAGCAATTAACGGGCGAGTGATAAGATCATTTTGATCGAATGGGTATTAGAATGACAGCAAAGAAATCCGTGAAAGAGTAGCTTATATGGCATTTTCTTTTTGCTTAAATTACGAAGTTGCAGCACATTTTCAGTGAAATACAGCATTTTATATCTTGGTGTAAGCAATATTGTGAAGAAATCGTATCTCAGAAAAAAGTTTGACTTGTTAGGCAGCAATTGGAGAAGGCGAAATATCGGATGGTACCACGAAGTGTGAAGGGGGAGGGGGAGGAGGCCCGCAATGCCACGTAAGGATCCATTTAGACGGCTCCATGGGATTGTTTGGATAAGAAGTGCAAAACAGAGAAGAATGGAAATGTTGCCAGCTTCATCAGTGGCGAGAAGAAATGCGATGTTGAAACAATATCTGATCAAATTATGAAAGCATATATAGGCAGACACTATCATCTTAAAAGATAAACTTTGTCCACATACACTATCATGTCGCATGAGTCACGCTCTAACGATATAAACAGAAAGAAAATGCAAGAATGGTAGAAAGGAAGAGTGATTTAGGCAAAAGCCGATTTGACTAATACGTCTAATTTGATGCATTTCACCTCAACAGTATTTGCGATAGAATCTCTTATAATTTCTACGAGAAGGAAAAGAATGTTTTCCACAAAAATGCAAGGACTACAGCATGTAGAGCTGTGAAAAAACGCTGGCATTTGAACAGCCAACCAAATTTTTCTGAACAGCCAACCAAATTTTTACTTGTTCCTGTTTTTTTGTTAATTTCTTTAATGCATACTTTAGGAACCTTGTCTGCATGTGTTTGTGTGTTCGGATTTTTGTCCGAAACTTCAACTCAGCAATCAAGAAAGCTAAAAAGCTGAAAGTTAAGAAATATTTCCGTCCATGTACTACTCCTCGGATTCAAGTTGAACCTTCATGCACGCTTAGGCCACACGTTTAAACATGCGGAAATTATTACGAAGAATCTTTCAAATCGAGGACTA